TATAGAACTACACGTTTATGATTTTGCAATAAAAGATTGGTATAGATTACCAAGTCATAAAAATGGGTGCTAATAGTGCCATTATTTTGTGCATGTAATTCTGTAACATAACAATATCACACTTGAGCAAAAAAGGGGGTTACTTCTGCCAGACTCTGTATATCTCTGTACTATTTTTAAACAAAACATCTGTTTCTTGATGTAAAGAAATCCCAATTATTTTACCCTGGGACTCCTGAAATGTGCAGGATATCTGGGTACTTGGGTCTAAATTAAGTGGTCTTGGGCAGCTGCACATTTAGAGTCCCTCTGTTAATGACATATTAGAGTTTTATGGTCTGTCCTTGCTTTCATTTAGTATGCTGTCACTCCTTAGTGGAGCTCTGACTTCTTGAAACAATAACCTCCCTCTTTTTAACTGCTGTTAGGGTTGAGGGCGTTTGGGAAACCAGGCATCTATGCTTGCTAGAAGTGATTTAAAAAAGAAGAGAAGATGATTTTGTGGACAGGGGTCTCAAGTAGTAATGAGCTGGGGGAGAGACTGAAACAGTAATCAGAACAGTCTGGGCCCAAGTTGGCTTTTGTGGAAATTGTGAGCTATATTTTAGACGGCAGAAAGTGCTGCCCAGAAGATGCTCTGGGTGAGTAAAGCGCTAATGTTTGTATTCTTTCTATGCGCAGGCTAATTCATCAAGTACATTTGTATATAATAACTATTTTAGACACATATGAATTTGTTTACACTTCAGTTGAAAAGTGTCTACATATACAGAAAGACTTTTAAAATAATGGTAGTCACCGAAAGAAGAGCCCACTCCATCAACACGAAAGTTATAGAATGATGTTTCTTCCCAAGTGTGTTGACTGATTTATGTCTGTCTATGTAGGAACATTATTTTTTATCTTTTATTGTTTTTGAGACAGAGTCTCACTTTGTCCCCCTCAGTAGAGTACTGTGGTCTCATAGCTCATAGCAACCTCAAACTGTCGGGCTTAAGCAATTCTCTTGCCTCAGCCTCCCAAGTAGCTGGGATTACAGGTGCCCACAACAATGTCCAGCTATTTTTTTGTTGTTGTTTGTAGTTGTCATTATTGTTTAGTTGGCTTGGGCCGAGTTCAAACCCGCCAGCCTCAGTGCATGTGGCTGGCACCATAACCATTGTTATGGGTGCTGAACCTATCTAGGAAAATTATTAATATCATAAGTCACTGAAAGAAAATGAGAAGCAGAAGAATCGCCTAAGCCCAGGAGTTGGAGGTTGCTGTGAGCTGTGACTCCACTGCACTCTACCCAGGGTGAAAAAGTGAGACTCTGTCTCTACAAAAAAAAAAAAGAAAATGAGAAGCCCACTTCACAACACAAAACAGTAATAGTGACTACCTGTTAAAGACTCACTTTTAATGGTGGTGTAAATGTTAATTCAAAGTGATTACGTGTGTTTGGGAACTTACTCTATTTTGCAGATGTTAAAAAATCACTATAGACCTAAACAGAATTTCGTGACTTTTTCCTTTCCCAAGCATTTTCATTTTTTATATTAACTTTTTACATTAGCAGATTATAAACATCTGTGTTTTGCTAATAAACTTAGATTTCCCCTTGAACACATAATTCTGATGAAATCTAACAAAACAGACAGAAAAGGAGAGATGTTTTTTATGTGTGTGGCAATGTTTTCTTCAGGCCAAGGACACACAGTGCGTGCTAATTTGCGTGGCTTTAATAAAAGTGTTCTAATTATAGTCTGCACTCATTTACCTGTAACTTAGTCAAAGGAAAAATTCAACTCCAGATTGACTTTCTGTGACCCGTAAGTCCTTTGGCCCTGCAACTTTTCCTGATGGTTAGTACACTGTGTTTTTAGAACTACAAGCTACGTTCATTATCTGCTTATTAAATAACAGAGGAAAGACTAGAATGCATAAAGTAGAACCGGATTACTGGCTGCTTTGGGTTACCTTTATTGGACAGATAAACAGGAATTGGTTTTTGTCAAGCCTTTTTGTACAACTCTTTTTTTATTATAAGACCTCCTGAAAACAATTTTCAGAAATGGTCATGGGATCAGAGACAACAGTCCAAAATTAAATTCTAGTCTCAAACAACATTTCTCAGCGTAAGAAATCAAGTATTTCCTAAGAGTCATTCTGGGTACACATTTTGCTCTGAGCTTTATTTGCTTTTTTGCAACAGCATTTAGGAGAAAACCAACTGACCATTTACAACCTAAACAATGGCCTTAGGGTATGATTAAGAAATGCACCTGGCCTCACTTAAGGGACATGTTTGTTTAACCTGGTGACTTTCTTGTGTCTGGGGTCAGGCAGGAATCTTGGCTGCAGGGTGGCAAGAAGAACAAATAGAACTGACTCACTGAGAACCAAACGGGTGTCCTCCGTGCCCTTTGTAATTACAACTGTTCTAACAGTTTCTAGTAGGCAAGGCTATCAGTTAAGTGGCCCACTATAATTTGGGATGAAACCCCAGGAAATTCTGCCAACTTTAGAACAGGAGTTGCATTTCTGAGTTTACTCAGAATGATGAACCCACTGAAATGCTGAGTAGCCTTTCTTTGGCATGTCAAGGGAAAAGTTCACACTAAAAGGAATTTGGCTAGAGAGGAAAAGAACATCAGAACATTCACTCCCAGGAACAGACCATAGTTTATTTTACTCTGCATCTTTTTTTTTTTTTAATGAAAAACTTTAATCATATAGAAAACATACAGAATAGAATAAACTCCCAGAAACCTATCATCCAGTTTTGATGGTCAACAACACATGATCAATTTTATTTTACTGTATTCTATCTACTCCCTTTGAATTTTTAAAACGCAAATCCTAGACAAAGGATATTATATTTTTTGAAGCTTTCATTGCAGTATCTGTACATATCTTCCTAAAGATCACTCCAGAAATCTCCTTGAACATGAGATGTTTAAACCAACTTTAACCACATCTTGTAACAAATTTACACAAAACCTATCTGCCTAGAAAACTAATTTGCTTGAACATAATTGGTAATTAAAATGACAAAATGACTTGAAACACAACCCTCTATTAATTTATTTATGGGGAAAAAAGCAACATTCTTAGATTGAGAAAACAGTACATATTACTTTATCCCTATGGTTCTGGTCTTCCTAGACATCCAATAAACAAGAGACCAGCTTATAAGTAATATGGTTAGATTTGCCTGGATAGAGCTTAGGAAAACAGGAGGAGGCTACTAGGGGCTTGGGAGCTGCCTAGAACAAAACTTTTCCCTTTCCTTCACGGCATTCATACAGAATAAAACAGAATGCCAACAGGCCAGACCGTAGGAGCTTCAGAAAGCACTCACCAAGCAGTCTAGCTACTTTCAGTAATTTATTACCCAACTTAAAGCAAAGATCAAAAGGAACCCCATCTAGCATTTATACTCCATTCCTCATTGCCTGATGACTAATTTGTAGGGGAATGAAGGGAAGCCAAAATAATCTGAGGTAACTTTGATACAGTGCCACAAAGGATATGAAGAGGAAGCTGGTAGAAGTTGCAAATGGCTAGGTTCCATTAAGGGTTCTAATAAAAGAATAATGGAATTTCCCTTAACTGTGAAATAAAAAATGTTAGAAGTGGGCAAAATTTAGACAAGTCAGGCAAAACCTTTGATTTGTCATAGGCTTGTGTGTGTGTGTGTGTGTGTGTGTGTGCAGTTAAATGTTAACTGCAGCCACTATTGCACTTCTGTTAATTAAATGGCTTCATCATAACAAAATGCAATGTTAGCAGCAGAAATCTGGCCCATCTCATTCCTTTGCTGTTATATTACTTATCAGCCTGCCCCTTCTGCCTGCATTGTCAGACGCTACTGGCTTTCCCAACCCCTTTCAAACAAATTTCTGTATTTTGCAAAGTGATTGATTTAACTTGAAAAATGGAACTCAAAAGCTACCATTTTTAGTATTGTGTATCACCACGGTCACATGGAGCATAAACACCCCTTTTACAAATTTTTGGTGCTTAAGTCAATTGGTCACTATAGAAACACTAAAAGCTATTCACGTTTTTCAACTTCTATGAACTGACATAATTTTTTCCTCCTGAATCCAGACATCTCTGTATTCTCAACTGAGGAAAGTAGTTTTCACACTACTTATTTTGGCTAGTTAAAAAATCCCCACCACATGTCTCTCTGTAAATTCATAGATAAAGATTTAGGTTTATATTAGCATTTCAACAGTGTAAATTTTTTGTTTACTTCTGAAATCACCTCTAATTAACAGATTTACTGGAAGCTTACATGGCATAGAAGTTTTGTACAAGTCTCAGAAATTCTGTAATATATTTCCCCATTAAGATGTAGTGTTAAGCATTTTTTAAAAGGAGTCCTTATCTTTTACGAATATGTGGTGAAAAACCAGAAGTGAAAAGCTTTTGGAAATTCTTTAGACACAGAGGGTAGAGAATATGGGGTATAAATGAAACTAGACTTGTTACGCATCTATAAAGCCATAGCATGGGGACATGAGGTTGTTACGTTATTTGGTCTTCTGTGTAGCTAAACTTTTGGCAGTGGGTATTTCAGATATAATGCTATGCATTGACTTTTGTCAGGATTTTAATTTAGGAAAACAATTTTCTATCCAGAGCAATGGAGAACCAAAATTTGGCACTTAACATTTCAACTATCTCTACCAATCCAAAAGCCAAGTTCATCCACCAGTGTGGTTGGAAAGAAAAATCAAAAAGTAACCAAACAAAAACACCCCTAAATCCATTTTTCACAGTATTGGAGATTTCACGTAACTAGATTTTAGCATGAATAAAATACAATTATTTTAGGTTAGAAATACGAAATTTCGGTTTTCTTCCAGAGGGATAGAGTTGAAAATTAAAATTGTAAGAAAAATGTAATTGGTAAGTGCATTTCAGGATCACCACATATTGGTGAAAATCATGCCATACAGTCAGAAAGACTCATAATACCCAACGTAGTAACAGCAAGCTTCTCTTACCTTGTGATCGTATGGATTGTAGGAATGAAATACCCGAGAAAGATCTTTTGTCCTCTGCTTTTTCTGTGGGGGAGAAAAAAGACAAACAATTGAGTTGACAGCTGATAAAAAGAAATACATGTGTATCTCTCTCTCTCTCTATCTAAATAAAGCTTTTGTTTAGAGAGTCTTCTTTTGTGCCAGCTGAGGAGTCACATGGATGTGGTTAGAAACCAAAGTCACTTGATAGTTTATGTGGGTCACTGCTGAGGAGCAGCCAGGCAACCTCTTCCTAGAACGTTTTATAATTAAAACGCTAATTGCCATCAACATCTCTATTTAGAAATGCGTAATTCAGAGACCAAAAGGAGAAAAAAGAAAATACTGTGAAAAGAAAGAAAACTCAATACAGGTTTAAGGTACTTTCAATTTCATTGGAATACCAACTGCTGATCCTCAGAATTAGGCATGGACGTGCATCCAGGTAAGCACTGCACCTCCCCAGGCTTCCTGGTCACAGCTCAGTCTCTCTGCTTGAGCCTGAGCCTGCACATGTGAGGATACCTTCGTTCCGCCACTGCCACAGAGCCCGGGTGCCTTGCATGGTGTTTTACTTGCAGTAGGCACTCAGTGAGTATTGGCTAGATTAATAAATAAACAAGTTGATCTGGGTTAGACAGGCATATAACTATTAATATCTGTAATGACGACATATGTGTCCCATGTATAACTATGCAAAGGGAAGGATCTTTTCACTTCTAATGATGGAGTTTTCTCAAGCTGAACCCAGTCACTACAGTCCCTTTTCCACTCCTGCTCCCCAGTGTCTGGGAAAAGCAAGAAGTCTGGGGTTCTCTATTACAGCCAACTGTAAAAGCAACTTGTTTTCTCAACCACTGTCATCTGTACAGCTCCCATGGCCACTATGAACAATCTGTCTCTGGCTCCAAATCTTGTAGGCATATATAAACGTTATTATTGTTTTCAAAGAAAGGAGATCATCGTACATACAGTCGTCCCTTGGTACCACCTCCCCCAAGACCAAAATCTGCTCAAGCCTTTTATAAAATGACTTAGTACTTGCATATAACCTATGCACATCTTGTATACTTTAAATTACCTCTAAACTGCTTATAATATCTACTATAATGTAAACACTATGTAAATAGTTGGTATGTCATAGTTTAAATTTGCATTATTTTTCACTGTAATACTTTTTTTTCCTAAATATTTTCGTTCCATAATTTGTTGAATCTGCAGATGTGAAACCTATGGACATGGAGGGCTGACTGATTTTCCCCCCCACTCTTCACAATGTATCCCTGTCAAGCTTCTATGCTCCTACACTCATATACAGATCTGTACTCCCTTAGAGAATTCCTGAAATCCAGAACTCCAAATACAAACTTTTTCTCCAATTCATTTCAAATTTTAAATACAATGGTAACCTTTACACAAATATCTCTGACAGCCTGAGAGTGTGCATTTAAAAAAATATGAGGTTGGACAATTAAGTTCATGAACTCATCCTAGATAACGTGCCTCATTGCTGAATATCACAGTCTACAAGTCAGACTACAGTCACCTTTGAAGTACTCCCATCTGGTAGCAGAGATGGGAGGATCATTGAACTCAGGAGTTCAAGACCAGCCTGAGTAAGAGTGAGACCCCATCTCTACTAAAAACAGAAAAAAACTGGCCCTGTGTGGTGGCTAATTAGCTGCCTGAGGTCCTAGCTCCTTGGAAGCCTGAGGCAGGATTGCTTGAACCCAGGAATTTGAGGTTGCTGTGAGCTATGATGACACCACTGCACTCTAGCCGGGGCAACAGAATGATATTTTCTCTAAAAAAAAAAAAAATTGTGGAGGTATAGTTAAACTGTCATCTCCCCTCACACACTATACCAATTTCCTCTCTCACCAAGAGTGAATGGAAGAAGGGCTCATGGCTTAAGTTGGAAATTCTTGACTTCCTTCTTCCATCTAAAGGTTAGAACATTCCTAAATTTACAGACAAGATCAAACATTTTTAGAAGAGAAAGTGAATGTTTGCCAGCTGTTGATTATAGAATTCCCTATATTTACGTCACTATTACATCTTAAAATTCTGTCATGTAAGTAGCCTGTTTGTCCTTGACACTGGCCTATCTTGCTTCTGGTTCTGCTCTGATATTCTTAACCAGGAGACTGGGCAGCTTCTGTCTTCACTTGTGAAGGAAGCCTTGCCTGGTATCTCTGTGTCCTAGGGAAGTATTTTCTGCCTCCTCCAGTGTCCTCAAGAACATGTCCAACACACCTCCCCTCAGATCCTTGCCTGAGTTCTACCTGATGTGCATCTACTTGGCTAAGCACTTGGATCTGTTATTAATTTGGTTTCTGCATTAAGTTTATTTGTACAGAAAATTTTCCCATGGATCAGTCCCTATCTCAGAACTCCTTGAAATCACTTGGCCTTGTTGCCTCATTGACACTCATGGAAGTGATCCCTCCTGCAGCTTAGCTGAAATTCCCATCTCCTTCCTCTGTCCACCTCTGAGTGGTGCTTCTGAACATGTAACGCCAAGATGATTAACATCCCTTTTCCCCTGGAGAGCAGAGATGTATCTGTAAGACGATTGCAAACAGTTCTCCCAGCTAATGAAATGTTAGCACTGCCAGCCTTGGAACCTGCTTTGAATAGGTCACTTGCCCATCAAAGTTGCATTAGCTTGTAATTTTCTCTTTCCTTTCTATACACCCACTTAGTTGGTATAACATTTCTTGGCTTATACTTCAGTCAGAAGAAAAATGATGAATACTAACACCTCCTTTGGTAGAAGACTTGATATAAAATACTGGGGCAATTTTCTCCAGAAGGGAAGTTATGCTAGGGAAGACAGAATAGGCAATATGTCAGCATTCAACTTAGGAGATGTCCCAAGGACTGAGCCATTTCTGAAATGATTCAGATACCAGCTCGAGTTACCAGGTGGATAAGGAATATTCATAAGTTGTTCTGTGTGATCTTTTTATGTGTGGTTTGATTTTATATCTCTGTTTTGATAGATGAGACCTATACATGCTTTTTATCATGAGCCATCTCAATTTGAGGAGGAAAGTACAGTATAGGCAAATAACACTATTTATATTAGTCTCAAAAGCAGCCAGTGAGGAAACAACGCTCCATTTTCTGACAACAATTTTATTAGATATAAATCCGGTGGAATTTAATCTATGACTAGTGAAGGTTTTATGCATTAGGACAGTTAACCCAGAACTACTGCCCTTCTTCCTGTGAGGTCATACAGCCCAGAGGTCTGTCTTCCGGGATCCGAAACAAGGGCTGGCAAACTATGGTCCCTTGGCTGATGCAGACCATCACCTGTTTTTGAAAATAAGGTTTTATTGAAACACAGCTACATGCATTTATTTGTTACTATCTATGATTGCTTTCATGCTATAGTAGCAGAGAGGAGGAGCTACAACAGAGACCATATGGTCTGTAAACCCTAAAGTAGTAACCATCTGGCCCTTTACAGAATCTAGAATCGCTGTTCCTGACCATGTCGACTTCTGACAGGAGTCCCTTCACTCCAAACTAAATGAACTAACTGTCCAGAAAAAGTCGTCACTCCTTCCACGTGGTCCGTGAAGACAGTTCAAGAGCCCATCATAGCCCCTATGAGGTATCCTGACAACTGGGATGAATATGCCAGACATAATAGCAGTTAGTTGTCTTGTTTTCAGGATTTTACCTTTGGTGCACTCGATAGACAGGTAGAGAACACTGCAGATCGGTTTCTAGAGCATGCTGAATTAGATTCGGGGCTTTCAGAGCATTCTGTAATCACACTGTCCCTGCTGATGACAGTAACTCTGAGATGAGATACTTTACTAAGCTCTAGAACTAAAGCCACACAGCAGGCTTCATGTGCAAGTCACTAAACCCTGGCCCTTATGACTAGTAAGCCAGTTCCTCCTATGTGGGCAATGTTAAAAGTACTATTCTATAAAACTTGTTGAGCCCTGCTAGCAGCTGTTTTAACTGAAACTAAAAGCTGAGCCAAACACAGAATAATTAGGTATTTTCCTATTGCATCATAGTGCATGTCTAAATTACCTCCCAATTTTTAGCCTGTTAAAACAAACATCTTGGTCATGCAGCCACCTGTTAATTCTCCAAGTGTTTAAAAGGTAAACATGTTAAACAAGTTGTGTGATGAACTTGTTAATGAGGGTGGCCAAAGTACAGTGAGGATAGCAAACGTTTCTCCTAGAATCATAGGCAGTACCTTCAGGTCCCCTTCCTCAGTAATCCCCAGGTACAGGCCACAGAGATGATGGGTTATTTAAAGGTAACTGCCTGCTCACTCAGTCCTATAGTCCATGTGGGCTGCAGTTGGGTTTTGTTTTTTTTTAAAGAGGCAGTATGCAAGCTTGATCAAACTTCTAGATTCCTGAGAAGCTAAGCTTCCATAATCTCCATCCTGTATGTACTTCATTAATTGCTTCGTTCCACTCTTTAAAGATAAAAAACACTGAAGACCTCTTTTTTCTTATACTCATGCTTAAATTCCCTTTCAGATGAAATCAAACAAAACTGAAGTCCCCAAGGGAGCATTTTTAATAGCTCTGGTTGTCAGACAATGTAATCTTTTCATTTTTTATCAAAGGTATACAACAGAGCTCAGATTGGAAAGAGGCTTCATGGGTGATAAGAGCCTGCATTACGAATGGGAGGATACATAAGCAAACGAAATTTAGCAATGCTGACTAACTTCTTTGGTGTCCCAAAATCAATTCTGTACTTTCTGTGCCCACTGTCCAGTTGTTCAGTAAAACTTTCCCAAATAAAGCAGTGTTATTGCAAGGTACAGCTATAATAAGATTGTGGATCTTATTTCTACATATGGAGTCTCAAAAATGATAAATGTCTATAAGCTTTGAAGAGTTTGATGGGCTTAAGGTCTATTATAATGAATCGCATGTGGTCAGCAGCCTTCATCATACTTCGTAAGAAGCCCAAAGAGCAGGTTCAAGCTTCAACATACTTATTTTTTTCCGGCCCTCTATCTGGGGAGCCTGAGTGGTGAACTGGTCAACTGG